AAAAAAAGTAAGAGTAACCCGACATACAAAAATGGAATAAAATGAAATTACAGTTGCTACAGTGTCAACAATAGCAAGTACTGTTGCCACCTTCTCCAAGCAAAGGACAGCTCTGATGCAGTTTCCACACTGATTAATATATAATACAGGCTTAGAGGAAAATACAGTCAGGGCAGAAAGAAAGGACCACACTTCCCCCTGCTGATGAATACTGAGATCACAGCCCTACTGCAGAATTCTTACAGAGCTACCAAGATACTGCTACTGTTTAATGTTTAAGCTGTGTTTTTACATTTAAAAAAAAGTTTTACACAAACTAAAGCAACAAATGTAATTCGTCGTTTGGTTTGTTTAACACGAGCAGAATGGATAACGAAGTAACTCAATGGTTCTCACTGCTTTTTCTCTGTTTCTCTCCAATCATTGGTGATCAGGTCAAAGTGTCTCTCGACAGCTTGATAGACAGTCTAAACAGCCTTTCAGACACTGGGGATTGTGTGGCCAGAGTTGAAAAAATGCTCAAGGAGCTAAAAACACTGGAGGAGAAAGCTCAGGTTTGTAATGGCACAGTTACACACACAATAGCACATAATCATTTAATAATATCGAATCATTACAAGTAATTTGGTTTCTTGTTAAAGCAATCATCATGAATCACTTTAGTAGAGTTGTAGAGTTACACAGTTGAGTGTGGATACCCTGAAGCTTTTGTTTGCACAGCTTAATGTATCATATTTAATTGATTTTCTTCCAGGCCACACTGGAAAAGGCACAACTTCACGCACTGCATGGTGACCAGCTGATTCAGAGCAATCACTATGCTGTGGACTCCATCAGACCCAAATGTGTCGAGCTCCGTCGTGTCTGTGACGACTTCAGCAATGAAGTCAAGAAAAAGACAGATATTTTGTCCAAATCTCTGCAGATACACCAGGGCATAGATAAGGTAAGGATACCATGTGAGTTGTGTACATTTACAGATGGCTACAAATCCAAAAGTTTGACTTAACACAAGCCAGATGAAATGTGATGAATCTGTTCTTTGGTTGGTGTTTTTTTTTTTTATCTTTTCATTAGATAATTCTGGACCAAAATGTCCAGACAGTGGGACATGTTGTAAAATCACACTGACATATTTACATCTTAGAATGTCACGGCCTCTATTTGCATCCAGCAGATGGCGCAAGCATTGAGTTAAAGTTGTTTAATCTTGAGTCTCTGGCACCTAAATATAATGTAAATATTATTTTTTACTCA